TGGTATCGGGGCAAGGAGACATGATGACAGGAGATGAGTATTATTAAGGGCAAGGAGAATGAAGTCACCGCGGCAGTGACAACCGGTTTCAGGTCGGAGAAAGAAAGACCAGCAAGCAGGTGGGGATCCTGTGAACCAACAGCCGGCCAATGATCCTGAAAGCACACGACAGGAACAGGCCCAGTAGCTGTGCTTCTTGTGTCTTCTTCCTTTTCTTATTTGACAATGACAAGAGGATGGTGGGTCGTCGCGATGTGTCTTTCTTCTCCTCGAAACCCTGGAACCGCCCGTTGTCGTCGGCAAGTTGGTTGGGGTTGGGCGATGATCAGGGACAACTACGAAGGAACACGCAAACGACGGCACGGCGGACGATGACGAGGTGGATCCCTCCCAGTAGCAAACTAATCTTTAATCGTTCTTTGGGCAGTCAGCTAACTTGCCAGTCAGTGGCCGTCACAAAGCCAGGTCGATTGGTGATGTTAGGAGAAGCCTTCAACCCGCCAGGACGAATCAACGTCGCTTCTCAAACGTGAAACAATCGGGGTGGTGACCAAACAGCGCGTGAGGCTGGGAATTAGGGTGGGGAAAACGATGACGGACGAAGCTGTCAAGACCAAATGAAAGAAAGACAGACAACGAAGTGGATCAAACGATTGAATGGATAGGCATGCTTACCGGTGAGACTGAATAATGCCTCTGATTGATTTAAGGAGTGTACCGTCGGAGAAAACAAGGGGGGAACACGGATCAATATGTTAGTGACGGGACACGAGGATCCATGGATGGGGAAAATGAAGGAGTAAACGCGGAACGGATAAAGGGGCTGCTTTAGTTCACTCATCAAGGTGCAGGCTAAAACATGGCCCGCCCGCAGTCATCGATAAGCAATAAGAACCTCCAGCTACAATCTTCTGCCACCGCTGAACAGAGGGGAATTTTGACAACAATCAATGCACGTAATCTGTCAGCAACATCGAGGTTAGCAACATCGAGGTTCGTCCACGATAGAGCAATTGATCACGCTGCTGCAAACAGACGGCGACTGGTGACGGTGAGTTACATGAAATTTGCCGTACGGAATTCTGTGTATCGATGAATATTATTTGACTGAATTCCGAAATTCCGTTAACGCACTGTATATATGGATTTTTACCTCTGCTTTGATAAATAGAAATTCAACGTTAATCCGTTACATCAGAGCGCAAGAAGATCCATTTAAATACTCTACGATGTAATTAATATGCTTCCGACCTAGGTTAGTTATCTGCAAAAGAAAACAGGAAACTTATTAGACCAACCCAAGCCCCATGATTTTCCATGATCCTCAGTGCAGTGCATGGAGAACTCTGCTCTACAACAGAATTGTATGTTCCAATCCTATTTAAGGGCAGATAAGCCTCTTCATTGACCTCATATGGCTCAAACCCTTTGCCTCGCCTATTCATCCCCTGCATTTTCAATGCCCCCTAAGCCCTCATGCTCATATCTCCCCTGCCAAAGTCCTGATATAAACTGCTGTGCTCGTAGGATCCAGGGAGATGGATATGCAAGGGGGAAAGAAGGGAAAGATCTGCGGATTTGTTGCATTAAATTGCCTGCGAACGGAGAACCACCATGTTTGCAATGCGATTGTTCAACCACCCGGACGACTGGCAACGCTCCATTTTGGAACTCGAGGGAGAAATGTATTCTATCCATCATAATGCACTCAAAAAAACACATATGTCGAATCCGACCTGCATTGACTACGGTTGCAAAGCAAGCTGACTACGTGGGGACTCTAAACCTGCAAGCGAGAAGACCATAAAACCCCTGTGAATCATCTACCAGCATAATGGGTGGGATTGTCGATCAACAAATGAGTTGACTATCGCGAAGATGGAAGCAATCGCGCTGAAAATTGGATATCGAAGATTTCAGAACGCTGCTTCTCACCCCTAACTCTGATTTGATGACTTATACGGAGACTCTGTAAGATTCCCCTTCTGATCGAGCCATCTCCGGGGAAATTCTCCTTCACAGGCTCTCATTGGACACACTGCATTGTTGCTCACCTTGCATATCTCTAAGGGAGGACTGGTGCAACTGGGCTGCTGCTTCGCATCCAAATGATCCAGAGTAATGGGATGTAAGCGACGGATATTTGCAATGAAAATTGTGGGAGGCCCTGACGATTGGACAACTGAATTTAAAAGGTGTAGGGCATTTGATTATCAGGAAATGCTTCATCTGTTGTTATATTGTTAGTTAATTAGTTAACTAACTAGTTATTCCTTCATTCCTGACATAACCATGATCCATAAATTGTTGGAGGGATTGGGATTGGGTGATTCGTACCCTCTATACCA